CAATCAACCACATAAAGCATAATTACTTCCCAAGATAAGTTTGTTTGCTAAACAAACACAACTAATCCATATATTTTTCTTGTACATAATAGAAACACACAAGTAAGAAACCTGAAACATTATAGATATCACTGTTAATTAATTGTTAAGAGTAGAAAATCACATAAGATCGTTATTCGTTAGAATCAACATTAACATCACTTACACATCATCGTCATCGTCATCATCCTCAACCTCACCCTCACTCTCATCGTTTTTATTTGTTTAAGGACTAATATCATTACTCTTATGATCACTTGAAGTACTTTCACCATTAACCATATTTCCTTGATTGCCATCATCTGGAAAAGATAACTCATTGATTGATGCATTCCCTTATTAATTGCTAAAAGGTCGGGTTAGTGGTGCTGAAGGATTGGGAGATGAACAAAAGCTTGCAATGTAATGGAGATTTGGATTATTGTGAGGGTGGTGGGAACAAACTACAAGCTAATTGGGAGGGTGGAAGATATCGTTGATGGAAGGAGTTGGGCGCCGATGTGCGAAAGAAGAAGATACGAGGAAGAGAATGAAAATAAATTGAGGGTTAACTATCAGGTTGGGGTTGTGTTGTTCATTATATTGGGTTGGGGAAAGTAAATTTGACTCGGTTCATGGGCATAACCCAACTTGACCGACCTAATTTTGATCCAATTGATATGAACCTTGAAATCGTACAAAATCGTAGAAATCGTAGATTTTATGGATTTTAGAGTTTTAAATCGGGATTTTATGGGATTTTAAGGTTCAAAGATGTTATAGTAAAATCAGGATCGGAACCAATAGGTAAGATCGTAAAATCATAAGATTTTAAGATTAAAATCAGGATTTTGACTACATTGGCATTAAGGATGGCTTGTCAACCTCGTTTTTTATGGATAGCTGGCTTGATAGTGCCGAACTATTAATCGACCTGGTCAAGGAAGAGGGCGCCACGGCGGATCCTTCTGAACCTGTTGCAGCCTTCGTCGTGCAAAACGGTGAGTGGGATCTTCCTCGTCTTCATGAGTTGCTACCTGAAGAAGCTGTGTTGCAGGTGATGGGGATCCTATCCCTAAAACAGCACAGCAGGGAAGATATCATGACATGGAACCCGGGGCGGGATGGACAATTTAGAGTAAAATTAGCCTATGACATAGCCAAGGGCGAGGTGGACAGGTGGTGGGATTTCGACAAGCGCAAGATCAGGAGATGGAAGGGTCCGGCTCGTGTCAATCACTTCCTCTGGCTGACGATCCAGGATCGGTTGCTCACCAACCAGGAGCGAACTAGAAGACATATGGCGAGCTCCCCGATGTGTACTTACTACAAAGATGAACCAGAAATAGTCCTGCATGTGTTGCAGAACTGCCCTTTTCCAAGTTAACTTGGTTGCGTCTCACTCAGATTTCTGATCAACAAGACTTCTTTGACAGCCCTTTACAGAGTTGGATCCTGAGGAACATCCTTAGGGAGCACACTGGCCTTGATTTTGGCATCGACCGCGTCTTCGCAGACAAGGTTGTCACCACTTAAGCTTTTCTACAGCACGTCCTAGCTTGGATAACTGTCGTGAGGAATGCCATGGACAAGGAAAGGCTCGTTCATTCGCCTAGTCTGCCCGCTAGAATAGAGGTTGAGATCTCATGGAAGCCGCCACCTCCAGAGTGGGTTACTCTCAATTCAGACGGCTCCGTCATTCATTAATCAGGCCATGCTGCAGCTGGTGGCGTGATTAGAGATCATACAGGATGCTGCCTTGTAGCATTCGCTTGTAACTTGGGTGTTTGCTCGATCACTCGAGCGGAATTGAGAGGTGTTGTAGAAGGTCTCCAGTTGGCCTGGGAGCGAGGCTTTCGCCATGTTCGCGTCGAGCTAGATTCACAGTGTGCAGTCCTGCTTTTAGAGGGCTTGGAACGCATGGATCACCACCATGTTGCCATCATTGACCGCTTCCAGAATTTACTTGCCCGTGACTGGGAAGTTTCTTGCTATCATATTTACATAGAGGGAAATAAGTGTGAGGATGTTTTAGCTGCCCGGTGTCACTCTCTTCCCCTAGGTTTTAATCTTATTCTAGCTTCGGATCCTTTGTTATCGGTTTACACTTTGTATGACTGTCAAGGCCTCTCTAAGTCTCGTCTTGTTGTGAATGAAAGCTGAGATGCCTCACGTCCATTTATTAAAAAAAAAATCTCTATCCTTTTTCTGATACCTGCGCATCTGAATTTGATTAACGATATTGGGCTCGCAGGCCGCTAGTTAAGAACTAGTGCAGTTCGCTAACTTTATTTAGTTGGGCTTACATCTTCGTAACGGAATGACGGATCTTCTATGGGCTGGACTCTTTGTCTTTGGTCACTGGAGCTGATTAAACATGGCCCAACTTATTTTGAGTTTTTCATTTGCCTTCCGTAAGGAGGGATGGGAGCAACCGAGCAACTACACATCAAGGCTACAACACCATTTGATCTTTGCCATTTCTTAATCCCAATCCAAGAAAAATTATCAAATATAATTTCACACCTTGTACTGAGATATTTATGATTATAAAACTTGTAAATCTTGATGATAATTGATTCATGGAATAGATAATAGAACCACTTAAGATGGGAGCTTTGCACAATTTAGAAAGGGAGAAGGGGTAGCAGAAGTCTTTCAGTGGGCATATTATCCAAATCAACCAACCAACCAATATCCTAATCTAGCAAGGACTAAGAATATAGGAGGGTGAATAGTGAGAAAGAAGTAGTTTACTAGTAGACAGGTCCTTAAGCAATAGATGTAGAAGTTTTGGATACGCTAAAGTGTTGCTAAATTGATGAGATAGACAAATTCGATTTTGGTACGTATGTGAGAATTAGAATAAAAGTTTGGTGAGAGTAGTCCCCTCTCCTATCTAAATATTGGAAACCAACGAGGGAAGGGAAGGGAGTGAAGTGGAGATTTCATTTTTAAAGCCCTTAAAGTAAAGAAAGACCCATAATTTATTCCTCCAATCTCATGATTATCCTAACAATAGTAAATAATAATAATAATGCCAACATTAGGGGTTCCGTAGGATATAACCTTTTTATTCATCATCTTAGCTCTCTCTTCCCTCTCCTCCTTTGCAGATTGGTCATAATTGTGGAAGAATGTGGAAAATCGAATTTGGCTATTGTGATAATATTGGATCACTTATTATTCATCAATATGTCTTGTGAGTTAAATAGGGACACGATGGAGGAAGCCAGGGGGCACTCATAACCCAATTCCTAAAAGTTGCGTCGGTAGATGAGGTATGTCGAGACTAGTAATGCCAAAGTTATTTGGTATTAATCTGAAGCGAGAAACACCGACGGTGAGAGGGTCCAACAAATTTTTATTGGATTTCATATTCATATACTCACTTCCATGTTTCACAAATACGATATAGGTGAGCCCTTAAGCTCTCTTTCTATTCCTTTTCATTCACAGTATTAAAAACCAGAAGATTTCATTAGGTGTTCGACTCACACAATCTACCATTTAAAAAGAACTTCTTTACTTACCCAGGAATGCCGTATGAGTGTATGTTCAATTGCTAGTTTTCGAATATATATAATACTCGGTATAATCTTAAGCATATATATCGGAATCCTTAATCACAAAAAAAAAATGTGAATAACATGTTAAAATCGATTTCTATAAGTCATAAGGTATCCAAAGATTAATCACCCTAATGCAAAATAAAATGGGTGTTATGAAATAATTCAACTACCACATTGGTAATATAAGGGAAGGAATCCTTGTATATTAGTGTCCACCTAGCCCAATTAGTACGAGACCTTTTGAGGAGTACACCCAAGAGTAAAACCGTGTGGGCTGTTAGAAACCGATTTCTGTAGAGTTTCTCTATTTATTAATATAATTATTATTAGGGTAATTATCAATAAGGTTAGTAGTCTTATAGTAGAATTAGGTTTATTATTAGGGTTTTCTAGTATTTCCCTATATATATATATGTACTTTGGGTCATTCGCCAGATTAAGCAGAAATTAATAGAAAAGTCCTCCTTCCCCAAAAACCCTAATCTCTTTCTCTCTCAAATCTCGTCTATCCTTCTCTACAGAGGCCTCGGCCATTCTTTCTGTTCTTCCCCAATTCTTCTCCTAATCCCTAAATTCTCTTCTCAAATCCCTAAATCCCCAATTCTATTCTATAAACACTAAATCCCCAATCTCTAGATTTGATCTAGAAATCCGTTAGAAATATTGTTTCTAACATCTGGTATCAGAGCCATGGTCGAAGATCTGAGTTCGTCACAACTCTCAACCAGGGATGAACTTGTGTATGAAGACTTCATGCCGTATGTCATGACGTTGGACCTGCGAGATCGCCTTGTCGTGTTCTTCGAATTGTCGGAGTTCGAGAAGGAGCACATAGACGTGCAGGTGATTGGATCAGATATACTAGCAATAATGGGGCAACGACCAATGGCTGATGGTCACAGATGGATCCGCTTCAAAAAGCAAATCAGATTCCAAGCAAACCACGACATCATACGATATCGCACTGGTTTTGGAAAATCCGATTTCATCATAAGAATTCCCAAAATCTCCGCCTCTATGGACCACAACCATGATGAGGATGCCACAGTAGAGCAGCTACCGGCCGGGGATGCCGCCGCAGCAGAAGAACAACAGCCGGTGGTGCAGGTTGACTCGGACAACAACGGTAAGAGGCAAACAGATCACCCGAGCGTGGAAGTGGTCTTGGCAACCGAGCCACCAGCCACGGAAGAAATTTCAAACGTCGCCAACGAACAGCAGCAGCTTCTGTCGAACACCGGCGCTGAAATTTTGAAAACTGCAATACACTCAGTCGGGACAAAATAGTCGTGCACCAAGGAGGCTGAAGGAAATTGGAAGGAGAATAAAAATACGTTGGTCACTATAGAGAAGAAATTGAGGACGGACCCTGCGACTCTGTTTGTAGCGACATCGAACGGAAATTCGTTCATGACGAAGACGGATTCGGAGATGGTGGAAGATCCGCCGCCGGAGTTGGGATCAATTGGCAAGAGGATGGAGATCGGGGTTCCAGTCAACCGCCAAAGCGTATTGCAGGCAGAGGGGCAGATTGCCAGGTGCCTCGACATAATGCGGGGTGATCTCTACAGTGACAATGGCAAGGATATGAAGACAATGGAAGCGACGGGTTGGCCTCTGGATCGTCGGACAGGCAGTATCCCGTCACACAAGGATGATTCCGAGGAGGATACGAAGAAGCCGTCATCGGGGGTGGAATCGAAGGAGAAGGAGGCAGCGCTGAAGATGGCGGTGAGTTTTGCTGCATCGTCGAGCGGAGGTGAGGCGAAGTCGGGGGCAGATCAGGTGGAAGAGTTCCCGACGGAGATGGAGGCGGAGAAGGATTCGTCGGAATCGTATCTTGAGAAGCCGGTAGCAGGCGGAGCTTTCCGCCGAAGGAGCAATACGCCGGCAAGGAGGAGGTGTTCGGCGAACGCGGAGAGTAAATGGGGCGGCGGCGTTCTCACGAACCCTAGGTTTCCAGCCTTGGGCCAAGCCGTGCATAGGCATGGAAGATCGGGCCAGTCGAATGTCTGGGCTTCCGAGTCTGATGGGCCAGCATTGGGGTCGACAAAGGGCGCAAGTTGCGGGCTGAGTCTGTAGTGGTTGTGTGGGCTGCGTGGGAGTCTGGCTCGCGAGAAGGGAGTTGCAGGCCTGGTCTTGCAAGGACTGAAGTGGGCCGGGTCGGATATGGGTCAGAAGTGGGCCGAGGATGGTTGGAAAGCTAGGCTTACCTTGTGCAATTCGAATGTGCCACGTCTGGAGGTTGAGCAGGCTGACAAGGAGTCTAGATGTGGGCCGCATCTTGGAAAGAAAGAGGCTGAGACAAGATATGAGTGCGGGCTGGAGCTTGGATTGCAGGGGGCCGGTGAAGATTTGAGGGTGGAGTCGAGTTGGGCTCCGCATGGGCCGCAAAATTACAGTCTCACAAGGACTTTAGTCTATGTGGTTGGGCCGGTTCAGGAGGGGTTTGAGCCCAACATGATCTGGGTTTTGAAGGAGGAAAAAGAAAATGGGTTCATTGAGTTGCAATATGGCATTCTTAAAGAACCTATCCCAAAGGTAGGTGGAGAAGTAACGAATCGAGTAAGTAGACTGGTTTCAAGGATGATTTTTAGGGGCCTTGATGAGTTGGTATTCAAGGATAAGTTCTTGTGCAATAAAGTACCCTTGAATTGTGACTTGACTGTGATGCCAACCAAAGAGGAGTTGTTGAAGTTCGAATTTATCAAAAAAGCAATTAGTGAGCCCATAGAAGTGAAATCCGAAGAATTAAATCAGCACGAGAAGGTCGGCGGAAGAAGCCCACTATTGGAGTTGGAGCAGGATTGGAAGAAACTAAAGCGCAAGAAATGGAGGAGTAAGCATGCGGATTGCGCGAGAAGGAAGGAAGAGTGGGTCAAGTCGGTCAACCTTGAGGGCAAGGTTGGTCTGAAGGGGGAGGAGATGTTAGAAACCGATTTCTGTAGAGTTTCTCTATTTATTAATATAATTATTATTAGGGTAATTATCAATAAGGTTAGTAGTCTTATAGTAGAATTAGGTTTATTATTAGGGTTTTCTAGTATTTCCCTATATATATGTACTTTGGGTCATTCGTCAGATTAAGCAGAAATTAATAGAAAATTCCTCCTTCCCCAAAAACCCTAATCTCTTTCTCTCTCAAATCTCGTCTATCCTTCTCTCCAGAGGCCTCGGCCGTTCTTTCTGTTCTTCCCCAATTCTTCTCCTAATCCCTAAATTCTCTTCTCAAATCCCTAAATCCCTAATTCTATTCTATAAACACTAAATCCCCAATCTCTAGATTTGATCTAGAAATCCGTTAGAAATATTGTTTCTAACATCTGGTATCAGAGCCATTGTCGAAGATCTGAGTTCGTCACAACTCTCAACCAGGGATGACCTTGTGTATGAAGACTTCATGCCGTATGTCATGACGTTGGACTTGCGAGATCGCATTGTCGTGTTCTTCGAATTGTCGGAGTTCAAGAAGGAGCACATAGACGTGCAGGTGATTGGATCAGATATACTAGCAATAATGGGGCAACGACCAATGGCTGATGGTCACAGATGGATTCGCTTCAATAAGCAAATCAGATTCCAAGCAAACCACGACATCAGACGATATCGCGCTGGTTTTGGAAAATCCGATTTCATCATCAGAATTCCCAAAATCTCCGCCCCTATGGACCACAACCATGATGAGGATGCCACAGTAGAGCAGCTACCGGCCGGGGATGCCGCCGCAGTAGAAGAACAACAGCCGGTGGTGCAGGTTGACTCGGACAACAACGGTAAGAGGCAAACAGATCAGCCGAGCGTGGAAGAGGTCTTGGCAACCGAGCCACCAGCCACGGAAGAAATTTCAAACGTCGCCAACGAACAGCAGCAGCTTCTGTCGAACACCGGCGCTGAAATTTTGAAAACTGCAATACACTCAGTCGGGACAAAAGAGTCGTGCACCAAGGAGGCTGAAGGAAATTGGAAGGAGAAGAAAAATACGTTGGTCACTATAGAGAAGAATTTGAGGACGGACCCTGCGACTCTGTTTGTAGCGACATCGAACGGAAATTCGTTCATGACGAAGACGGATTCGGAGATGGTGGAAGATCCGCCGCCGGAGTTGGGATCAATTGGCAAGAGGATGGAGATCGGGGTTCCAGTCAACCGCCAAAGCGTAGTGCAGGCAGAGGGGCAGATTGCCAGGTGCCTCGACATAATGCGGGGTGATCTCTATAGTGACAATGGCAAGGATATGAAGACAATGGAAGCGACGGGTTGGACTCTGGATCGTCGGACAGGCGGTATCCCGTCACGCAAGGATGATTCCGAGGAGGATGCGAAGAAGCCGTTATCGGGGGTGGAATCGAAGGAGAAGGAGGCAGCGCTGAAGATGGCGGTGAGTTTTGCTGCATCGTCGAGCGGAGGTGAGGCGAAGTCGGGGGCAGATCGGGTGGAAGAGTTCCCGACGGAGATGGAGGCGGAGAAGGATTCGTCGGAATCGCGTCTTGAGAAGCCGGTAGCATGCAGAGCTTTCCGCCGAAGGAGCAATACGCCGGCAAGGAGGAGGTGTTCGGCGAACGCGGAGAGTAAATGGGGCGGCAACGTTCTCACGAACCCTAGGTTTCCAGCCTTGGGTCGAGCCGTGCAGAGGCATGGAAGATCGGGCCAGTCGAATGTATGGGCTTCCGAGTCTGATGGGCCAGCATTGGGGTCGACGAAGGGCGCAAGTTGCGGGCTGGGTCTGTAGTGGTTGTGTGGGCTGCATGGGAGTCTGGCTCGCGAGAAGGGAGTTGCGGGCCTAGTCTTGCAAGGACTGAAGTGGGCCGGGTCGGATATGGGTCAGAAGTGGGCCGAGGATGGTTGGAAAGCTAGGCTTACCTTGTGCAATTCGAATGTGCCACGTCTGGAGGTTGAGCAGGCTGACAAGGAGCCTAGATGTGGGCCGCATCTTGGAAAGAAAGAGGCTGAGACAAGATATGAGTGCGGGCTGGAGCTTGGATTGCAGGGGGCCGGTGAAGATTTGAGGGTGGAGTCGAGTTGGGCTCCGCATGGGCCGCACAATTACAGTCTCACAAGGACTTTAGTCTATGTGGTTGGGCCGGTTCAGGAGGGGTTTGAGCCCAACATGATCTGGGTTTTGAAGGAGGAAAAAGAAAATGGGTTCATTGAGTTGCAATATGGCATTCTTAAAGAACCTATCCCAAAGGTAGGTGGAGAAGCAACGAATCAAGTAAGTAGACTGGTTTCAAGGAAGATTTTTAGGGGCCTTGATGAGTTGGTATTCAATGATAAGTTCTTGTGCAATAAAGTACCCTTGAATTGTGACTTGACTGTGATGCCAACCAAAGAGGAGTTGTTGAAGTTCGAATTTATCAAAAAAGCAATTAGTGAGCCCATAGAAGTGAAATCCGAAGAATTAAATCAGCACGAGAAGGTCGGCGGAAGAAGCCCACTATTGGAGTTGGAGCATGATTGGAAGAAACGGAAGCGCAAGAAATGGAGGAGTAAGCGTGCAGATTGCGCGAGAAGGAAGGAAGAGTGGGTCAAGTCGGTCAACCTTGAGGGCAAGGTTGGTCTGAAGGGGGAGGAGATGTTAGAAACCGATTTCTGTAGAGTTTCTCTATTTATTAATATAATTATTATTAGGGTAATTATTAATAAGGTTAGTAGTCTTATAGTAGAATTAGGTTTATTATTAGGGTTTTCTAGTATTTCCCTATATATATGTACTTTGGGTCATTCGTCAGATTAAGCAGAAATTAATAGAAAAGTCCTCCTTCCCCAAAAACCCTAATCTCTTTCTCTCTCAAATCTCGTCTATCCTTCTCTCCAGAGGCCTCGTCCGTTCTTTCTGTTCTTCCCCAATTCTTCTCCTAATCCCTAAATTCTCTTCTCAAATCCCTAAATCCCCAATTCTATTCTATAAACACTAAATCCCCAATCTCTAGATTTGATCTAGAAATCCGTTAGAAACTTTGTTTCTAACACGGGCTTGGCCCAAAGCGGGCAATATCATACTAATTGAGCTCCCTGGTTTCGACAAGTGGTATCAGAGTATAGTTCGTGTGCAAGGCGGTGGACGTCAGTTTTGTGTGACCCTCTTTTGAGGAGGACACCCAAGAGTAAAATCGTGCAGGTTTGGCCTAAAGCGGACAATATCGTACTAATTGAGCTCTCTGGTTTCGACAAATAGCATCAGAGTCTAGTCGGGTGCAGGGCGGTTGACGTCAATTTGGTGTGACCCTCTTTCGATAACGTTAGATCGAGAAACCCATCGATATAAGGTGTCTAGTTGTAATACAATATCGTAGCTCCTGGGATTCACTCTTTTGCGAACTTGCATCAAATCTCTTTGAACACTTTAAAGGCACACAAAATGGGGGAATTGAAACAAAGAGGACCAAATAGGAAGTGGACAGGTGGAGGTAGGGCAGACACATACTTGTACAACAAGACTCTTTTGACGAACCCAGCACTAGCTACTACTTTACTCCATCGCTTTGTGTTTAGTTAAAAACATTAGAAAAGACATCCATATATATATAATTAAAGACCATATATATAATTAAAAAAAACTTCAAGACTGTTTGCGGCATATATTGCAACATTCCTATCATTTTCCTTATCAAGATATTGTTCGATTTAATTCTAGATTTAATTCTACATTCGCATGGTTTTGCTTTCGGTGCGTCATGGTGACTTACCAAAAGGCTACTTATCTATGCACTGGTTAATATTGAGCACGTTTAACTTCAAATTTCTTACAAGAACTCTTTCATTTCACGTTAAAACGCGTCTTGTTAGTTAATGTTGGATTGTTTCTAATAAATCATGTGTTTTGTCGATGTAGGATTTACCTAGGGTGTTACATATAGTATTGTCGAACGATATAAGAATTTTTTAATAAATTGAGTATTGAAATTAATAGGGTTTGACATGATATTAGAGATTTTATTTGAAAATGTTTTGTTTGGGTTCTTATGACCTCAAATATTAATTTCCAGTACTAAGGTATGGTGATTTTTTTTTTTTTTTTTTGCAAAACTCAAACCAATTAATTGTTTTTACTTGAGAGGACAAGTAAAGAAGTGGCATACAATCCTTATTTGAATACGTACCAATAAAATTTCCGACATAATTGCAATATAACCCCAAGAAAGAAAGAAAAGGTCAAGAAACAAATCGTGAACAGAGAGAAGTTATATGCCACATTTCACAAATGTGCTAGCACTATTAAATTCGAGTGATTTAAGAGAGTTGTAGAAGACAAGTTGAGTTTAAAATCCGGCACCACGATAACTAGATTAGTCTTGTATTAACAATTAAAACTCTCCATCAAAAGAGTTTACCATCAAAACAGAAAATCCTAAACTATTAAATAAATATAAGAATGATTATGACTTGTTTATTGAAAGCCCTTAAAGGAAAGAAAGAAATGAGTGGAGAGGCTTGAGGTGGAAGTGTGAAAAACAGTGGTGATTGGTGGGGGTGGGGAGAATTGGGTATTTTTGGGGTTTTGTTTTCTTTCTGTGCATAAAGGAAGAGTTTTGTGATACCGACATTGTACCCAACACCAGAAGGTGAATCGCATGATTCACCACCAATTTTTTAATAAACAAAAAACACATCACTTAGTGTATTGTATTGTATTGTTCCCGAAATGTAATTATTGGTTTAGTCGTTGATAAATCTTTGTGTTATATATTAATCCATGTTTAATAAATTAGATCAATGCATAGATGTTGTGTGTGTTATAGTATTCATACCATACGAGTGCAATGCATAGTGAAGCTACTTAGCTACATCGTCTTATTATTTACCAAGTACTTCATCGGTACTCATTGTGGTTATGTAATTCTGAGTGAGCTGATTCGGGTCTCGTGACTCATTGGCTATACTTCTTCCCTTGTTTTGGTTTACACTTGATCTGATTTTTTTACCATGATACTTGCGGTTCGATCGGTGGTATTTGTGCAAGCATCACTAAGGTATTTTTGTTTTCCAATTTTTCCATTTACCCTAAATGTTGTTAAATTTTCTATCTATAGGAAAAAGAAAATATATACTTATATTCTTTTATGTCCACAAAATTTGGCTATGGAAACAGAGTCGAACTTTAGGACATGGAATATCTGGCATGGCTATACTATACAAACGAGATTGATTATCATCTTGAAATGCTCCCTCACTACACGAAAACCAAAATTTCCTCAAATTTACAATAAGAACAACTTTATTTCACTTGTGAAAAAGCACAGCAACAAGGCCACATCAGAAAGTTTAAAACAAGATTAAAAAAAAACCGACATTTCAATCCAGAAAACGAGCAAAGTTCGTAAGAAAATGAAATTACACAATGGACTCTATCATCAAAACAAAAAAAAAAAAAGTTTCCAATTGGGTTTTGTTGAAGTTGTGTAAAGAAACAACATCCATATCTAGAACACCTTTGTGGTGTGTGTAGTGTAGTAATGTGTAGGTGTACATATTCACCCAAGTCTAAGCAAACACCCCCTTTGGCGGTTCCCCTGTCCCTTTAATTTTTTTTCTTTTCTTCTCTTTTTAAAGGTGAAAAGTATTGTATATTTTTCTTCTTCTTCCTATTCCTCTTCCTCTCCAATAATAAAATTCGTAGGCACCTACAAAACCGAGAGCAAGCCACCCACACCCAACCTTTTCTTCTTTCACCACCCACAAAAAAACTAGATGGGGTGGCTTCAATCCCTCTTCTCCCCATTGAAGAAGCTCTGGTTCCGCCTCCACACCACTTCCAACAACAGTACGTAGCCTCTTCCTCCTTCTCCTCACTCTCGTCTCTCTTACTTCTCCCACAATTGAAGCTTCATTACTCTGTTTCCATCTCCTCTGTTTCTCCCATTTCATCATCGTCATCGTGCAATTCGTCTGATCGAGCTTTTCTTTTCGCTTCGCAGGAAGAGGGATATACATTTTGTACGATGATGTGAAGTCGTGCTCGTACGAGGATGTTCATGTTCTGTGGTCGATACTGGTTGAGGCCAATTCCCCTCACATTCTGCAGCCGCCGCCGCAGCCATCAAAGCAATGAGCAGGGGAAGTGAACATCGAAAAACACTCTTCATACCAGTACAGATTGCAGAACTGAATCATGGTGATGGCGGAAATGGGACACACATCCGAGCTAAACCCACTCTTTATCTTTTTGTACATAATGATTATATCGTGCATTTATAATCGTGTTTTATTACTATATACACAAACACCCCCCATCTTTTTTGGTTCTTCCTCTGTTTTTTGGGCTTCCCCTGCCCTTGCTTGTGAGGTTAAGCTTCTTGTCACGGTATGAACTTACATACTAGAGAAGAGAGAACAAAACAACAAACCTTTCTTGTATATCCTTTCTTCCTTTCTTCTGGCGTTTTTGGGATTTTCCATGGGAGCAATGCTTAAACGGAAATGAAAACCCTAAAAGGGGCATTGGATGAACGGAAATTTGGTGGGTTGTTGTTAGATTGTGTTTCTAGATTTCTTCTTGCTCTAAATTCAGCTGCTCGCTCTCTCTCTCTCTCTCTCTCTCTCTCTCTCTCTCTCTCTCTCTCTCTCTCGATAGTTGCTTTGTCAGTTTCAGCAGTTGAGAGACGGTTTGTCTCTTCTTTTCTTCTTTTTTCATGTATGGTTACTGAAGTTGACTTGCGAAAAAAGATATCTGTAGGGATTGGACAACACATGGATTAGAACCCCATAATTTACTACATCTATCTTTTATGTGATTATGAATGAGGTTTTCAATTTTGTTTTGCACTAATTCTCTCCACCATTACCAATCCTTGATGTGTCTTTCTTCACTTCATCTACTACCATGTCTGAATCTAATTGCGGTTCGCGATGATGGTGGTGGTGGAAGAACTGAATCGAAGAAAAAGATATCTAACGGGAATTGAGACTAATAATAACGCTCCTATATCACAAGAATACAATAATCTCAACTATACATGTTATAGAATGAGCAAATAAAAGTCACTAAAAGGTCAGTGGTCAACAATTTGATGTTATTCAAGATGATTGAATTGAGATTAATGTCTAACATCTGAACTATGATTATTCGAATGTAATGTAATTCTTTAAAATTCACTCTTTAATTAAAATAAAAACAACTATTTTACCTTTGGACTACTACCATTGAGGTTCCTTCTCTTTGTCATTCATTTGATTAGACATTGAATTAAAGTTGGGTTTTGGTGATTAATGACACTAGAGTACTAAGCCAGGTGTTGGTTAATACGTAGCCGTGTAGGTAAAGCTGAGTATTGGTAGTCAAGCATCTTGGTAGTCGCTGTCCATTATTGTCCACGTCACTTTTAAAAAAAAATCTTGACCAAACCTTTTGAAGAGGACGATAATGAAGAAAAAAGGTAGCTTCTTCCTTATTTAGGCCGAACACAACACTCTGTGGAAAGTCCAACAAATACACCGCCCAGGCAATTAGGCATCATGTCAACAAACAGAAATCGCACACCACACTGATAATGATAAAACAAAGAGTTTTCAATACAGCAAACTGCTAAATCTGAGGCGTTTGATTCCAATGGTAGAGCTGTCGGTTCACTCATGTGGTGGGCGATTTTAATGCAGCGCTGGAATAAATTGGGCAACAGGATAGTAGTAACTAACGAACTAATAACCGACGGGGATGTTACTTCTTCAGGGTTACTTCAAAGTTTGAACGCCCCTCTCTCTCTCTCTTTGGTTTTCCTGTAGAAAAAAAAGCCAATCATGAATTGGTGATTTGATTAGCATCTGTCATGTAACTGAAGTGCTGCGAGACGGAATGTACGAGCTAAAGGAAAAGGCTGTTCGCGTCGGTGATTGTCGGAGAAGCTTCTGCAATGAGATGGGTGAGTTTCTACTTCAAATGTCTGTGCTTTGAGCTAGAAGCAGTGTTCGTGATACTGTACCGGCTAAACTACTTGCCGCTGACAAAGCCAGCATGGGTTTATCACAAGAGTCCTATGGCGATTAACCTGGCAACATCAGTTTTTGCATGGAGATCGCAGGAGTCGTATATAGCTATTAGAAGAGTAAAAGAGTTGCACTAGTGACGAGTCTAGCCGAATAAACGTAGAAAGACGTTCTAGAATGAATCTCAATTCGCAAGCTAATAAAGGACAAGCTGAAGGTTGAAGTGACATCAGAACTGACATTTAGCTTTAGGTTGAAACAAAGAGAAATGAAAGTACCAATAGCCATTCATCTACATAGACAGGACTTGTATAATTACCCAAAATCCCAATTCATAAAAGATGCTCCACCTACCAATGAGTACATTGAGCAGGAATTTTGTTACTCACCAGGATATTGTGTATCATTTTGGAGGCTTTCCCAATAAAATGCAGCATCTTATAAGGCAGAAGGGGATGTGTGGTCAACTACACTCGGTAACCAGTCTTTAAAGTATGTGTGGCAACCTACGTCAGCAGGGGAAAGAGCCGAAAGGGGAGTTACAGTAATCTGAACCAGAGAGGAATAGCAAGATAGTCAATGTCTTTCATATTACAATTCACAAATTTAAGTGAAAAGCAGATAATAGAATCAAGTTATAACACGTACATATCCATCCTTGAGATATTTGTGGTCCGTATCATCTTCAACAATTTGAGCTCCTCTTACCTGAGAAATCAAATTCAAGTAAACAAATCTTATCTTTCTAAAAATGTAACAGTGGAACTTTGTTTGGTAAAGAGAAAGGAACTCCCACTTTATAAGCTGCAAGAGGAATATAAAAACTCTGGTTAAAAAATGATTAAGGTATGGAAGAAAGGGACTGACTTCTCTTTTGAAGACAAGATTTCCTTGTGATGCATCATCCGTTGTATCAGCATCCGCTTGCATCTTTCCATCTGTATCCATTGTCATTGTTGACAACATTTTCCCTCCTTGTGTGGTAGAAGTAACTTGCTTCCATCCCATTCTATATATGCTTTTACTTTGTCTGGTGAGCTTATACCCCTATTCCAATGAATGAGAGAACACACCCCAGAATTATGAAATGATGTGGCTTGAAATATTTTGTCAGAGAAGTCATAGTGGCAGGCAAACGGTATCAGACCCCATAACCCAATGTAAACAGTCTAGCACACCTAAACCGTAAGCAAGCCTTTGAGATCAGCTTCCCCCTTTCCTCCAGACATTTTATTGTCGTCAGATTCAAACATAAAGCGACTACTGTGAACCCGCTCTCCAGACACATCAGCAAGAATAAAATCAAGGTGTATCACAAAGGCAGGAGGTGGAGTAATCCTCTATAAATTTCATATTCAAAGGTGTTATGCTTGAAATTACCTTATGCTGGGTAACATTTGTGGGCAAGTCTACATTCAAGAAGCAACCAGATGGATATTTTTTACTTTTAACTTCAGCAAGTATGCCTGTTATAATTGGTATACACGCCTCAGCAGCAAGAGTGAAGTCTTCAACACTGCTCTTCCCCCCAACCCTACAGATGCGGAACAGTTAGGAACATACAAACTAATTAGTACTCCGCAATCTGTTGTCACAAATCTGGTGTAGTTAGATTAACAGTAAATAAATTTACCACGATATGGGAAAGATAATTGTACATAGAGTGTATCTTACCAATCATATGACACGGAGATGGAAGGGATGTCGTTAAAGAAGGCCTCACGAGCGCCAGCAACTGTGCCGGAATACACACTGGCATACCAAACAAGGGACTCATCAGTATAGAAATGCGGTAATCATAGCCTCCCGTAATTTCTAGGACTTCATGTTTAAATACTTTGCTAAGTGCACCAGATAAAAATTAAGAAAGTGGTAACTGATTCATACATGTGATAGCCGCAGTTGCTCCCCATGTTTATGCCACTTACTACCTGCGTACATCAAATTTATAACCCACAGTAAACTTAAGAGCGACACTGTTTTGGGAACAGATACTGCACAATAAACAACGAGGGGATCCGCCACAACTTCTAAGTTCTAAGTAGTAGGACTCATCATAAAAAACATATAACAGACTAGGCATTCTCAATCACTAGTTGGCTAGTTAAGCACAAGGCAATCATCATCCATGGCATAGTTACTACTGTGCAACCAAGAAGGAATCTGAAAGTCTGAACAGAATCATCAACAGCATTCTTCTAAATGTCAGTTTTGAAGCCGGAGATGACAGCCAGAGAGCTACCAGATCAGGAACTGAAGGAAACAGCGCTCCGGAGATTCCTAAGGAGGTACAATCAGCAGGAGTTCCTGCACAGCACAGAGCCAGCTTTATTCTCCCGCAAAAATTACTCAGAGATCAAATATTGAAGAGGAAGAGCTCAAATAATTCGAACCAGAAACTCCATAGGCCGTCGCTCCATCAATTTCCACTCGCTGAGCTGATATAGGATGCCGCCAAGTAATACTGTGGCTCACGGCTGACTTCTCTCTGCAATTTGTTTGTAGCTAATTAGCTGATAAAGCACCGATGAAATCTAATTCCACCATCCACAAACTTCAGAATCAATCGCTATTCATACAGGAATTTCCGATCACCACTCCAACTCTCACCACTCGGAACTCGAATTGAATTTCCATCGCAATTCTATACCTACAGCTAAAATCAAAAGACTAACGGAGAAGGAAATAACGAGAACGCAGATGATGAAAAAAACGTACGAATCAGGAGCGCAAACCAGTACGTGGAAGCGATGGGAGGAGACCAGGACTCGAACTAGGGAGCGAAGCCCAGGCGCGTCGATACCGTCGTCGTTGGTGACCATGACCGTCGGCAGGTGATGATCGGAGATGGAAACGGAGTTCTCCATTCTTGATCGCGACGGAGGCACAAGGGAAGACCAGGAGGAGGAGGAGGAATCGCTGGCGCTCCGGCAACTGGCCAAATGAGAGAAGAGAGTGCGTTTGGCGGAGGCGGAAGAACGAGGGAATTTGGCCGCGAATCTTCGCCTTGCGTTTCCGTTAGAGTTTGCTGCGTTTGGTGGTCCGTGAAGGGAATATGCTGCGGTAGCTGGAAAACCATTTACGATCATTTTTTCCCCGTTAAATAATTTTCTTCCAGCAATCATAAAAATTCAAATCAAATGCTTGTACTTTTGGAAATTTTGAGTAATTATTTTTTTCCAGTGAATTTTGTAATTTGTACTCCCTTGGTTTGGCGACTCCTATGAGTTTCTGTCTTTATCTCGACAACTTTGGTCTTTACAAATGTTTTCAAATTAGTTCATAATTATGTTCATTCTCATCTGCCACCTTTTCAACAATAAACATTCACTAGCTTCATAACACGTTTTAGAAGTCTAATTATGTTTTCATCGAAGTATTGGCCAGAATTTGGTGAGATTATTTTTAGGTTGGCTCGTTGTGGGGGAGAAATATTAAAACACCCTAATTCTTTGTCCAAATTGTGATTCTCGTTTCAGAACTTTTGATTAAGAATATTATTTATTCAATATATAGCCGGAGAGTAACCAACCATTCATAACTCGAATACCTAGTCAGTGATAGAGTCAGAAATTTAAACGGGGGGCTAAAAATCTATACTCAGATAATTCAAACTAGCGAGAGCTGATTAAAACCTTACCAACTACTATATTTTTCAAATTTATTATTAAATTTACATGTATTTTTACATGATTTTGTGAGTTGAGTGGTCTATAACCTCACCTTTAACTTAAGGTGCCTCTAATTGATGACCCTTTATACTCTTTTAGCTAATAACACTCTTTGTGTTAACAGTTAACACCATAACAACAATTTTCTTTAAAAGAAAAATAATACATTCAGCAAAAATAACAAATTCGGAAAAGAAAAACAAACGAAATCATAAGAAAACAATTTGTTGCCACTGCTCTCCTACCACCTTTCGTTATTCTTTATGAATTGTCATTTTTTCCCTAAACCTTCGTCCCGTTTAGATTAGTTCCTGTGCTTAAGTCCAAAAACTTAAGCATATGCTTAAACTAATCCTATTGGTTGTTAGTAGATTAGGTGGTTAATGAGAAGGTATTAGTTAATAAGTAATTAAGGGTATTGAGGTCAATTGTGCATTTAACTTATTTATAATTTAACCTAATTTTTACAAAGAAAATTAACCTAATTCCATAATTAAATAAAAACTAATCATCAACCCTTCGTCAACCCTAAAATCATAGAGCCGCCGGTTACGTTTGGTTATCTTGAAGACGTCTTCCTCCTAACCCTCTACCGTCTTCGACCCGGCGACTTCCGGCCATTCTCCTTTTTTGGCGCCGCCGCGTTTTCCCTCCCTTCCACATATGCATAGTAAGCCACACCGGGCAAGCCTAGGCTGAAAGTACCTCGGGCTGCTGTCCTGTTTCTCGTTTATAATACCAGCGGAGAAGAAGTTGCAGGAGTTGACGTTTGTCATTTGTGTTTCTCGTTTGTGATACCTGCGTGAATATGTTGTTGGTACTCTCCTCAACGTCGACGTCCAGCTAGCGTCGGACCCCAGTATGCTTTTGGTCGTCATCCGGCCAGCTAGCGTTGACCAGTTACCGTCGTCGAACAGTTCTCGTTTTCTTTTGTCTCGTCGTCGTCTAGTTTGGCAGTGAACTATTGTCGTCCGTCTACGGTCTATCCACCGCCTTAAATGTTTCATCAATTTTTTATGTTCAAATTAGTAACGCACTTTCGTTCAAGTAGTAATAAATCAGAGGGTAATTAGTTACATTTGTTAACCTTTTATTCTTAACTTTTTAAATACCGTTGTTAATGTTTTATCCTTAAGTTATCACCCTTTTTAATACCATTTTTAAAATTGATATCAGCACAATCCTTTTTAATAGCATTATTACCTTTTTATTATTAAATTTCGTGTTACCATTGTTAAAATTTTATTCTTAAGTTATCATCCCTTTTAATACCATTATTATTAACTTTTTAAATACCATTTTCAATACTGACACCAGCACAGGAGTGATCCCTTTGATGGCAATTATCAATTGTTCATGCTGGCGTTGTCAATGTGCAGAATATAATTAGTCATTGTATTAATAAAGATATACAATATCGTATTCGTTCTTATAATCATTCTCTTCGACAAATGACTATTAACATTACTTCAAGGTATTATCAACTTTTTTTTCATCAAAAAGGTATTATCAATGTTTTTTACCAAATTTCATCGATTTATCATACCATTATCAACATTAACTCTTGGTATTATTAATAGAAATCATCATTATTAACAATTTCTCGTCATTTTTTATGAATTTTTCGGTGATCTATGATACCATTATTAACGATTTCTCATCATTTTTTAATGAAAATCATAGATCGTAAACTTTGTTTTAACGTTGACAAGTAACGACGGGATGGCGTCGGAGGAACTCATGCCCAAAAACCCCGCTCATAACCCATTTCAATACTGAGACAAATGATGACGAGATGGTGTCATAGGAGGACGCTCTGGCGGCAGGATGGAGACGTCGTCTTAGCACGCTCTACGGCTGGCTGGCAGACACGAATCATCGGCAGGCGATAATCATGTCGGTGCCGGGAAGTTGTCACGGTTGCTGGTGTTGTTGTTGCTGGAGGGGAGGGGGGACTGGTCAGCGTTGGCTTGGTCGCCGACGCCTAGGGGCCTGGATGGCGGAGGGATGGTGTTGCGGCCGTATCCGTTTTTCTTGCCGGCGCCTTCCCCTCCAGAATTCGCCAAGAGAGAGAGGCTTAGAATGGTTTAGGGTTTTAATGCTTCTTTCCTATTAATAATAACTATATTAATCAGTTGGGACAGTAAGTGGGTCTCTGGTTTCACGGCGAATATTGGGACAGCAACCGCCGCCCTGGCTGAGTTGTGGGCCATCTTCCATGGTCTTGATCTAGCCTGGAAAGTGGGATGTCGAGCCGTCCGTCTTGAGTCTGATTCCCAGCTAGCGATCCAGCTTATCAACAACCGTCAAGAGCCTGTTCACCCTCATGCGACTTTGCTATCTGCGATCCGGAGGAAGATTAGTCAAGATTGGCTGGTGAGCATATCTCATATATACCGGGAAGGGAATAGAGTCGTGGACTGACTCTCGAAGCACAGTCTCGTCTATCCCTACGGTATGCATGAGTTTGCAAACCCGCCCCCTGGGCTAGTCTCCCTTATAAGAGAAGATGCCATGGGTATTACCTTCGAGCGTCGGGTTGTGACGTCTCCTCACTCTTTTTCTTAGCTCTCCCCTTGTACTTCTAGTGTCGGCTTTTGCCTCCCTTTTCGCAAAAAAAAAAAACTATAATTTTTTTCACTTAATTCCTCATTTACCCTTAATAACAAACTAACTACTAACCTTCCATAAACTAACTAAAATCATATTAGCCAATAGGAAGGCTTTAAGCATATGCTCAAGCTTTTAGGCTTAAGCACAGGATCTAACCCGCCCTCTAAAGTCTAAACAGCACATCCCGCTGGGCCGAAACGACACAAGCTTGGTTGGAATAACACCAAGATTGTCAACCCGTTGGTTGACCCGCTTTGACCCTGGCCCGATGAGAAAACCGGCCCGCACGCACTCGTCGGGTTGACCGTTACAAGGTATCGGGTTGGAGGTTAAATTGTGTCATTTTTTTCTTTGGTTTGCGAAATGCGCCTATTTTCCGAATTTCCCCCCCGCATAACTCAATCTTTGGAATTCTAAGTTGAACATTTGAATATTGATGTTATATAAGTGTGTGTGAATTTTCACTATATGTTGGATCTAAGTACGACATGTTATTTTGGTGGAATATTATATGTTATAACTCATATGTTAGATGAGATTTGATATAATTTATCAGGATAAGTACAATATAATGACTTTCTATATTTCCAGACTAAAACGGGTGACACATTAACCATTGATCCATTAGCTCGATCAGATCCGGATCAGCACGCGAGTTGACAACCTTGAATAACACAGTGAAATATTAATCAATATATAAAAACATAACATTAATTAATTAATTAATTAATATATAAAAGCCCAATATTAGAGTTATTATTCATTAGTGGCTATCATACTCCTCCAAGTGCAAGTGGGAAGTTTCAAGTCCTTCTTTACCTCACTCTCTATTTTCCATTTTACAACCTTTATGTTTAGTTACTGTTCGCAAGGTTTTCGTCTATGGATTTTTGCACAAATCATCGCCTTTGTCCACCATTTTGCAACCAATCTCGAAATACTGTCGGCGAATCCTAAATTGTTCCCCACCACTGTTTCTCAAGGACGCTACCACGAGTTTTGTATCGGGACCGAGTTTCATCCTCTTTAGTGTTTTCTTCTTTTTCTCTTTCCTTTTTGTTGAGCATGATCACAACTGAAACCAAACACATGAGTAACCTAACTTGAACACAAATCATCACCTTTGCCCACCATTTTGCAGCCCATCTCGAAATATTGTCAGCGGAATCCTAAGTTGTTCCCCACCACTATTTCCAATGACGCTACCACTATTTTTGTATAGGGATTGAGTTTCATCCTATTTAGTGTTTTTTTCATCCTAACTTGAACACAAATCATTGCCACTGTCCTTTGCATCCCATCTCGAAATACTGTCGGTGGAATCCTAAGTTGTTCCCCACCACCGTTTTCTAAGGCCGCTACCATGAGTTTTGTATCGCGACTGAGTTTCATTATCCTTAGTGTTTTTCTTTCTTTTTTTCATGTTTGTTGAGCATGATCACAATTGAAGCCAAACACATGGATAACCTAACTTGAATACAAATAATCGCCTTTGTGTTAAGTTATTGTTCGCTAGGTTTTCGTTTATGGCTTTTTGCACAAATCATCGCCTTTGCCCACCATTTTGCAGGCCATCTCAAAATACTGTCGGCGGAATCCTAAGTTGCTCCCCACCACCGTTTTCCAAGGCTGCTACCACGAGTTTTGTATCGAGACCGAGTTTCACCATCTTTAGTGTTTTTTCTTTCTCTTTTTCCTTTTTGTTGTGCATGATCACAATTGAACCCAACATACATGGGTAACCTAACTTGAACACAAATCATCCCCTTTGTGTTTAGTTATTATTCGCTAGGTTTTCATCTATGGCTTTTTGCATAAATCATCACCTTTGCCCATCTTGAAATACTGGCGACAGAATCATAAGTTGTTACCCACCACCATTTCCCAAGGCTGCTACCACGAGTTTTGTATAGGGACCGATTTTCATCCTCTTTAGTGTTTTTTCTTTTTCTTTTTCCCTTTTGCTAAGCATGATCACAATTGAACCCAAACACATGGGTAACCTAATTTGAACACAAATCATCGCCTTTGCCCACCATTTTGCAGCCCATCACGAAATATTGTCAACGGAATTTAAGTTGTTCCCCACCATCATTTCCAAGGTCACTACCACGATTTTTGTATAGGGACCAGGTTTCATCCTCTTTAGTGTTTTTTTCATCCTAACTTGAACACAAATCATCGCCTTTGTCCACCATTTT